TGAGCATGCTGGGCCCGGAGGCGGAGCTGGTGCCGCTGGAGCATCCGGATCGCATATCGACCCCATCGCCGGTGCCGATGCGCAGCAGCAAGCGCTCCAACAAATCCTTCATTGTGAATGGCTCACGCGGCTCGTCGCGCTCCAATAACTGCCACAAGGCGCATCACTATCACAAGGATGTCAACATCAATGATCCCTCGCTGACCACCATTACCGAGGAGCCGCAATCGTGGAAGTCCAGCAATTCATCCATACAAATGCACAACGATTGGAGTGCACCGTCCACGCCCACGCCCACGCACAACCGCAACCACAATCACAACCACAATCACAATCATCTGAACAATCATTATATGAACAACATGAACAACTATCAACAACGCGAACCACCGCACGGCTCCAGCTCCAGCTCCAGCTCTGGCCAAGGCAACGGCAACGGCAACGGCTCCAATTATAGCTGTAATGCTGGACCACCGCCGCAGCCGCCAACGTATCACAAGGTATCGCAGCCCATGCTGGGCGGCTATGCGCCGCCGGAGCTGCAGAGCATTGTGGTGCAGCCGGAGGTAACCGTCGAGACGACGCATTCGGACAGCAACACCACCAAGGTGACGGCCACGGCGAACATCAAAGTGGAGCTGGTGACGCCCGGGCGAGCGGTGCGCAGCTACAACTTTACGAGTTAGCCCTGGCACTAGTTCCTGTAGCCATTAACGTCTATCTGTAAACTGTAAACTGTTAACCGTCAACTGTAAACTGTTAACTGTTAACTGTTAACTGTAATCTGTATATGTGTATGCATGTTAGTTAATTTCCATATGGAGCATATATATGTTAGATATATGTATATGACTATAGATCATATGATTATAAATATATATATATATATATATATATATATATATATATATATATATATGTGTAGTATATATAGCAGCTGCTACGCCTCAAGCGCGCATGCCTAGCAGCTTTGTATGTATGTATTTTAGCACCTAAGGCATTCTTATACATAGAGTTATTTATTGTAACACACACACACACACACACACACACACCGACACACATCGACAGAGCTATGTACTTATATCTGAGGCACTTCCATGGCCTAGAGATTGAAATATCGTAAACCAACCCACACACACTAGTAATTTATAGCATTTAATTTAGTTTAAATATGTACATAAAACACAAGGACTTGAACCAAAATAGTATCGCTTAAAAAAAAAAAAAACAAAAAACACAAACACGATGAATTTAAGTATGAGAAACTGAAGACGAACCGGAGATATTTACTCAACAAAAATAAATATAATACAAATTATATATATGAGAAGAATCCCTTCCGTAGGTACTTACCAAAATTAATAAATACATATAGTTATATGTTAATGAACTGTCTCGACATGGACTGTATTTCTGGCATCCAAATAAAATAACTCACACACTCATTATGCAGTTCTTAAAAAGTGAAAGCATTTAAATAAAATCAAAACAATTTGTAAAGCGAAATATTCAGAGTTGTTTTCATTAATATTAATATTAATATTAATATGTGCTGTGGTACATTTTGAGATTATTAATCAAATTTAATAGCTGTGCTCGCTTTGATTACTATCCTGAACATCTCAGAAAGCAGAGGACTTATAGGCTCGAAGGATACTGTATATAACGTCAAATTCTTTCCTCTATTCTTTGATTTCTCTCGATACTTTCGTCTCTCTATCTCAGCATTGTCTGTTTCTCTTCTCTGTTCTCTCATCTTTCACCTCTTTGATGTCCTCTCGTAACTCTCACTCTTTTGTGTCTTTCTCTTCTATCATTTTCTGGTTTCTTCCTTTTTCGCTCTCCGCCCTTCATTTAAATCCCTTCTCTCTCATTTCCTTCCCTCTCATCTCTTCACTCTTCTCTCTTCATTGTTCTCTCTATTTTCCCATATATCTTTATTACTGCTCTCCTCACGTTTCCTTGCTTCTTCCTTTTCTGCCCTCCTCTCACCGTTGATATCTCTTTTCTCTCATTTTCTTCCCTCTCCTCTCTTCACTATTCTCTCCGCGTTCTTCTCTCTGTTCTGCTCTGCCTTTTCCCTTAAGTTTACTTTCTTTCTTTATACTCTATCGTCTCATTTTTTTCTTTTCGCTCTCTCTCGTCTCGTCTCTCTTCTCTTCTCTTCTCAATCTCTCCATCTCAGTCGCTTAGCTATATACTTCAGAATGTAATCCAATCCTTAATTCGATCTCTAACACTAATTATTTGGAATATACGTAAGATGCCTAGACCAGATAGAAGATAACTGTGAATCAAGATGGCAATGCTGAGAGACGATTTCAAGTACTTTAGGTCAAATGTATGTGTATGCATATCTCAATCAATCAATCTGTCCATCAGTCAGTCAGTCACTCAGTCATGCCTGCCACACAGATTAGCTGCCACAGCCTGTTGCACGTCTCGTACAACTATCGCTGCTCGATGTCCAGGAAGCTGGAGGACTGCCATGAGATAATCAACTTCTTCAACTACTTCGAGCTGATGTATTGCTACCTGCGCATTGACGACAAGCTGATGGAGTCCTTTGCGTTCTTCCTGCTGCTGCTTGCCTCGGTGGCATATTTGCTGCTCATGTCGATTGTCGTCGATCACTTGTGAGTGCCTGGAGGGGCATGCCTATCCATAGAGAGTGATCTATGCCCACCTACCACCTCTAGCTTTACGCCCACTGTGAAGATCTTGGCCCTGAACCTGCGCCTCAATGAGTATTTCGCTGGCGTCACTCTGCTGGCCTTTGCCAATTCCTCGCCCGATTTCGTCGCCAATCTGATGCCCATCCGGAAGCATGGCGCCCTCTTCACCTGCGTCATTGGCAACAGTCTGGCCGTGCTGCTCGTCTGCGGCGGCATGATCTGCTTCCTGCGACCCTTCAAGATCGACGGACACAGCACCGTCCAGAACTTACTCTTCCTCGTCCTGGCCATCGATCTGCTCCACTTCTTAATAGTCAGTGAGAAAAAAATAAGTAGAACTGAGTGTTCGAGTAAGTGCTCTATATATCCATATATCATCAATACCATATACCATCATTTATCAATCTATATTCTTCTTGTGCATTGCAGTCCTCTTATGTTTCTATGTCATCTTTCTGATTGTCAATATCGCTGATCTTCTACTCATCAAATATACCATAAAAAGTAAGTTGATTTGGCTTGAACTTAACCCTTAACGGTCTTTCAGCTAGATATAACTAAATGATATATGTCTATCTATACATATTTCCATGTCCCCATATGTCTACATTGCACGTAGACAGATATATCTTCATTTATATTATGCTATACACATATATGTAGATAGACATTATAGATATAATCCGATTATCTAATGGTATATCATATAATGATGAGTATACGAGAATTCTGGTCCCCAGACAAACTTTTATGAGCAAACTTCTACGGTTATAGCGCCTTCCGGGTATAACGACGGTTCCTTGAGTGTCGTTATAACCGGATTCAACTGTATAAATCTGTCTGTTAATAGACGAGATCGATATCATCCGATTATTTATCTGTATATATATAAGTAAATCTGTCTATATATGTATTCATTCATTATGGTTTATCCATTATATATACATATATAGACCAATAATTCTATCCATTCAATCCAGCCTCAATCTCGAGATTAATAACGATAAAAAAGATTGATAAATTAGTATAAATTTTTCAAGTGTCGAACAGCTCAATACTTTTGCTAGTTACAGGGTAGCTATCAAGTCGATCATCATCACTCACTTTTAGTAATATCCCTATTTTTCGCTACCTCCGCCAATGCAGAGCTACGCTCCGAGTTGAGGGAACAACGCTATGCCGATCTGAAGCAGAGGAAGAAAATGGCGCTGCTCAAAGATTTGGAGCTGAACGATGTGATCAATTACGAGAGACGTAAGACAGATAAGTTTGGCAAGCCCCTTGAGGGCGCAGATGACGATGATTATCGAACATATCGCACGATTCTTCACTCGCCCAGCAACTCGAAGAATCGCCTGTTGTTCGGCGATCTGTGGGACTCGATCAATCCGTACAGTGTCTTCGAATGGAGGGTGGGCAACTGCTTCCGGCGCACGGTGATGATCCTGAAGATGCCCCTGCTGCTGCTCATCACGCTGTTCGTGCCAGTCGTGGACTACGACAAGTACAAGCATGGCTGGAGCAAGTTGCTCAACTGCACGCAGATTGTCACGAATCCGTTCATCATCATAACGGCGGTGCACTGTAAGAGGAGCTGTTTGATCTTTGATCTATTAATCTATCCAATATTAATTCCCCTCCCCTCCTCTCCCTAGCCAAGTTTGCTAGCGTCTACAAGTCCTGGTACATCGATTTCAATACCAAGTATTCGGTTTGGTCCTTCTGCCTGACTGTGCCCTTGGCTCTCATTGTCTTCTTCCATTCCCGCACCGATATGCCGCCTCGATATCATTTTGTAAGTCTCGATAAATCGATCGATCTTCGATAACTTGCTATCGCCTGCAGCTCTTCATCACGCTCAGCGCCTGCAGCTCGGTGGTTCTCATCGTAGTGTGCGTGGGCGAGATTGAGATACTCACCTCCATTGTGGGCGTGGCCTGCAATCTGAGCGAAACCTTTGTGGACATTACGATTGGCTCCTTGACCAATGCCCTCATCGATCTGATGGCCAACTTCAACCTGGCCATGCAGGGCTACGAGAAAATGGTCTTTGCCGCCATCTGTGCGGGTCCATTTTTCAGTAAGCTAACGCTATTGGGATCTATTTTATACATATATAGTTATAATATATTTATAGGTATTGTTGTTGGTTTGGGAATTCCCTTCCTCTTCAATTCGCACGTCCGCAAAAGGGGTTCGTCGGACTGGCTCTATGGGGAGTACGGCGATAACTGTTATATATTCATCATGTTGGCCATATGGACCCAGCTGTGGTGGTGCCTATCCCTGAATTTTCATTCGCGACGATCTGTGGGAATATTTTCATGGATTTTGTATCTGTTGTTTTTAATCTATACGATTGCAGCTGAGTTTGATCTGGTGCACGTGTTTACAAAAGATAGATTCTTCGATCTGCAATAATATTACAATTTCGTTTACATATATTTGATGAAGACTAATACTTATATTAAATAGACATATGTATGTACATTCATGCTTATATTAAAGCTTACTTGCTTTTAAGTGTTCAAATATAAGAGTTTGCAAACAGCAGCACCAATATTTTGTCCTGCTCTGTCGCATTAGCTATATGGCCACTCGACAAGTCGACGAAGACGTTCGCTCATTGAGAAACTCTCTCACTGTCTGGAAGCGAAGTCAGCACAATGTGTAATTGAATCCATGCTTTGTCCTGCTCTGTCATGCACTAACTTAACGAATCTTATCGATCTCTGTAAAGCTCTCTCACTAACTGGAAGTGTAAGTCAGTCAGAAATCAAGCTAAAATTGTAGTAATAAAGCTTATAATTGTAATATAAATATAAATGACACGTATAAAATAAGCAGTAGTAATTATTTAGTCATGTCACACAAGCAGAGAGCATACAACTTTATGTTGCTTGAAATGGCGCTCTCTTTGCATTGGACAGTAAAACTCTCTTTTCTGTTCTTGTACTTATGTTTCTTTCTCTTTTCTTCTACAGCTCTACACTTATTGCACTGTTTTATTTTCGCTTGTTTTTATTGTAACTAATCTCTAGTTCGGTATTTTTAAGAGCGTATTTAATTTTGTACCTTTGCTGGACGTAAAAATCAAAATGTTGTTAAAATTCTCTGTGGCTTTCACAACGTTACCCATGAAACAAATGTATAATTTATTTATTTTCGTAAAATCAAAATTCGGTCTTCCATTTTCAACGGTAAATTGCGCGCTCTTTTGGTGCTAAAAATAAATAGTGGCCTACTTTAGAGCTGGTAAAGTTGCGGTCGCTCATATTAAGGGGTTTGTGTCTCTACTATAGGTGGCCACGCTGATGGTGGTAGGCTTTGATGATTCGTTAAGTCAAAAAGCTGGTTAAGCTATTTCGCAACTGCGTGGCAACGCCAAAAACACGTGATATGCACTCTGTCATTGCAAAGTCAATAATGACGAAGGTAAGTCCAAAAAAATACAAAAGCAATAACATAACTATGGAAATATCGTATAAAATTACCGATGCTTTTTATGGTGCCGAAATATCGATATATGTTACTTCATATTATTTGATTATTTTAGGCTTAATTTTATGTTTAGGTTTCATGTAAATTTTTAGTGTTCGGTTATTTCGGTTAAGGCGTGTATTGTGAGCTTTAAATGCTGCAGCATAATGACAATTTATATATCGATAACGTAAGAATTTCAAAAATATATGTACACTTTGATCTATCGATATTTTAATACGATATCAACATCAACAAGAAAAAGATATAAAAAAAAAAAACAATTGGAAGCGCGCCGCGTGTGAGTAACAGTAAAAACCGCTGCATCTCCTAAATCGAATATTGATGATAGTACATAATATTATTAAAATATTCAACCACGGAATAAATCAAGTGCAACTGCATGCGCTGCAGAAGCAAGCAAAAATAAAGCAATTGAACCGCAAAAGTGAGAGAGTAACTGCAAATAGTTTCGCCTGTGTGCGTGAGTGAGTGAGTGAGTGAGTGGTCCGAATCAGACGGTGAAAATAATCGTGGCAAAAGCAAAAGCGACGGCGACATTTTATACACGTATCAGAAGCAAACTCAACGTGTTTTGAGAACGTTGTACTGAACGCGTTGTGGCTATCGCATACATATATATATATTTATATGTACAAATATCTTCATACGCATACATATAAACCATAAGAAGTTTGAGTGATCTTTTACGTACATTCATACAAACATATACATACATACATATGAATGTAGATGCGGGCGCGAAATTAAGACGCATACTAAATATTTAAAACGCAATTGAAAGCACAACGTCGTTAACTTTAAAGATTTGTGTAAGTAAGAAATTGGTGTTCGCCTTTCGTCCGGTTGCGAACGAGTTGATTGCTTATGTGTGTGCTTGTGTGTGTATGATTTGTGTGTGTGTGTGAACATGCCATCAAATTGGCAAAAGCGCAGCTACAAAGAAAAAATGTGCATAAGTGTGTAATTTGGTGAAAGTTTCATTTCAAAGAACAGTCAGCCCAATGAACGTTCAGCCACTCTAATTCTGATGGAATTGCGCTTGACAGTGTGGTTAAATCTGTGTGTGTTTTGTTTGTAGCTAAAATGTTGCATTTGTTTTTAAATTGTTTATTAATATTCCATGTTAAATATTAAATTTATTATTGGTGTTTATTACATGTGCGCGCTCAACGCTCTCTCGCTGCCTCTCTCTCTCGCTCTCGCTCATTAAATCGTATGTCAATGCAAATAACGGCATTTCAAATACAACGACGCAAATGCACTGGAAATTACAACAATATTTAACAAATATAGCAGGTAATATATATATAAGTTTAACTGATACTCTTAGAAATTATACTCTTTCTTTATGTATATAATTAGTAGATTGTGTAGTTAGAAACTCTTGCATGTCTATCGCTCAGCTGACGCAGGTCACAAGCACATACATACACTAACACAAATGCACAGAGATAGGCGTGCATTTGTTCTCCTCTCTTTCGCTTACAACCGTTTGTTTTCCCTTTGCCGGCGTGGCGGCTCAAATATCACGCCACCTGATCCAATGGCCCGTGTCGAAAATACAAATGCAGTTGGTCTTATACTACGTTTCTTCAACGTCTACTTATACCTCTCGCGTGCTTTATAAGTTGGAATTTTGAACAATTTGTAATCGTGGTATAAACAGTGCGCGCGTTGACCTAGTTTTCAATTTGCAGGAGAGCAATTGCAGTGAGCGCCACGCAATATTTGCATTATGCAATGTTGTCAATGGCAACGAGAATAAATTAAACAAACCATTTGTTTATTTGCTTATTGATTTGTTGTGTTAAAGGTTTATTTATTTTTTTTAATAGAGGCAATTTTGTCGATTATCTGATTATATATTTAACAATTTTATAAATAATGTACAATAATAATACTTAGTTTTATTAATGTGCTTCATCATTTCTCATTTTGGTCTCTCTCTCTCTCTTTCGGCTGTTGGGCTACTTCCCCTCTTAGCACGTGCATCAAGTGCTTTCTTGTAAAAATACGCGCACGCTCTCTTCCAGTGTCGTCATTCTCTCTCGCTCTGGCTCTCGCTCATGAGCTCCGGCTGACTCAGTCGCTCTGCTTTTACACCCACTCGACTGTGTCTGCTTGCTTTATAATATACCAACTGAAAATCATGCGAGCTCTGTGCTGTTTCTGGACTTTGAGGGTCACGAGGCGGGAGTCTGCTTGGGGGTCATCTGTTCGTGTGTATGTGTGTGAATGTGTGTCTGTGTATCTGTGTGTGTATTGCGATGTGTCATCTGTTTATGTTGTTGTCATCAACAGCAGCAGGCAAAGGCACTGGCTGCCCAGCTGAGCCAGTGACCGCTGATGGCCAGTGAAATTGTTGATGCAAACTGGCGACGGCGAACTGATTTCTCGGGTGCGGCTTTATGTTATGGCCCGGAAGCAAATGCCCTTTGCAGTCTGTTATCAAACGCGGCAGCTGAGCAACAGTCACGTTTATTAATTGTGGTTTTCAGTTTTTACCGTTTGTCGATTGGCTATAAATGTGAGTTGTAAATGAAGTTTTCGCGACAGAATGAGAAACCCAAAGGAAAAAATTTTAAATATAAATAAATAAATGAAGTAAAAAACATTCAAATATATCAAAAACACTAAATTTTTAATAAAATTTCAAAAGTACCGTTCAATTTAGGAATAGTTGCATTTATTTAATATTTTACTTTAATTAATTTATTTATATTTTATGTTTGTTCAATATTTCTTTTTCATTATCTACCCGCATCTTTCAATACATTTTATAGCTTCTTTCAATAAGCTAATGCAAATGTATTTACTTACACACGCCCATGCATACATGTAACATATGCACGCCATTGCTTACACACACACATACAAACATGTAGCATAGACATGTATGTATGTATATATTTTTTGCCGGCCGCAGCTTTCATTCATGGCCAAACCCAATTGCTAACAGCAGCAACAACGCAGCAGCAGCAGCAGCCGCCTGTCCATAGGGGCCAAGGAGGAGTACTCAACGTTGTAAACAATGTGCTCTTTGACCTTTTGGCCCCGCGCCTTGGCCAACGTCAGCGAGCGTATGCGCTCTCTTCGCCTTCACACCGCGCTCTTGTACAGTTGACGCCGACGTCACACGCGAGATGCAATGTATTGCTATGTTATTCGCCCTGTTCGCCCCGTTTCGCCCTGCTCGGCCTATCCGTTGCTCTCTTCGCCGCGCTTTGGATGTGCTTTGTTGCTGCGCAACATTTCCCCTGAAACTCATACGATTTTCAGCTGGTATATCCAAGGGCCAAAGAAGACTACAGAAAAGCAAAAACGTGCCACGGCATGTTGCCACACCAGCACCACCAACCCTCGACCGATTTTCCTGCACCCAGTTGTGAATATGTCTGGCGCTTTTCCTTTTCCGCTGTTGCAGTTGAGACCATACCAGAAAGTCACGCGATTCTTGGGTTATGTATGTACTTCTTTTATGTGTATATATATGTATATATGTATGTGTATGTATTATAGTAATGCTGCTCGATTTATACCTTTGCCCTTTTATGGAATGTTGATCTTTTTTGCAAAGGCCTATATAATATATAAAGAGATAAAACCATTCCGTAAAGCCATTTAACTTTTTCAAAGTGATTTATAAAGTAATTTAGATAATATCTGTATAATATATGAGTGAGTTTATTTTTAGGAAAAAACTATCAACAATATCAACTATCAACAATGTATGATACGAGGTTATCAACGGTATCAGAACTTTGTATGATTATTTTCCGATACAATTCAGAATTTCATATCATATGTTGATGTTGATATTTTCATATATAGCTTTAAGATCTAATAATCTTTTGATTAATGTAACTTCATATCTCAAAATATTTACTATGTGTAAATATATAAATATTTACTATATCAATGAGATGATTGAAAGAACTTTATATCCTAAAGTTTGATTAATATCTTAAACTCTTTTAAGATATCAATCTAACTTTAGCATACAATTTCCTTTGAAGTTACATCATGTATAACGTGTATTTTACCATCTATCAATATGGCTTTCCTGCAGCTGTCAGAACTTTTTGATGACCAATGCCTTGAGGTCTATATAGTTGCATCATCATCAAGAGCGGATATATATACATATATCAACTATGTACATGTGTCCATAGCGCTTTGTGCCCATTCAAAGCATTATGACGCGCCTCACTTATCATATAATTATATTTGATAATCTTACGTTGATTGTAAGAACCAAAAACAATTCTAAAGCCCACCTTGCGCTTGTTTTTTCGACTTTGTTCAGGTTATTGTTCTCGGGGTGACCGTGTTTATGATTATATATTTGACTTAAGTAGAAAAGTGTTGCAATTACATTGAGTTTTATAGGTGTAGATAGGCAAAAGTGTTATCATAAGATGGATGTGATATGCATTTAAGGTTTTATACGTGCTGAACTTGTTGATAGGGATGAAAATAGTTTAGCGGACTACTTTTACATATAATTTATCAATTTTCCCATGCATATTTTACATATAATTAATTAATATTGGGAATCCATCTTTAATGTTAGTTTAATGTTTAATAATCTTGAAAATTATAGTTATTTATTATATTTTGGCATATTGGTATTAAAATGAAATATTAATATATATTTATTTATTAGACAGTAATCATTGGGTATTAAAGACTTTCAATATTAGAAGAAAAGCAAAACGAGTGATTATAACACTCAAGCAGACTAATTTGGCATAGGAAGTATATTTTTCTCTTAAATTCGACCCTGATGATTTCCTTGAAACTGTAGATGTAATCTATTTTAGGTCTCATTTACATTCATGTGTGGAATATATGTATGTACATACTAAATACGCAGTAATTGCGATAATTATGATTACTGTTTACATATGCACATACACATAAACATATAAGTATGTAAGTTCATCTCTCTCTTTCTCTCTGTCTCTCCTCTTTCTCTCCTCCTCTCCCTTTGTGGGTGGCGTTCTAAGTTTGGCATGCGGCACTAAACACGTTTGCTTCTATAGCAAGAGCAACATACTCACACACACACATACACCTGCACACCTACACTCGTTGCAAACAATGTTTGCTTTAGTCACGAAGTTGAAATTTATGCGAAAAGATTTTCTAACCGGTTTTATCAACGGCAGCATTGAATTGCCCGTATTATTTTGTTTCTTTCTGTGGTTCGAAAATCATTAAACCGGCCTTTGCGACGTGTGCTCAGTCGTCAGTAATCATGATCATGGTCAAAGAGTTTTTATCTTGTGGAAAATTTTCACTTTGCATCGCACGTGCTGTGCTGGGAAAGCTGTAGTGATGATGGTCACTCTAAAGCTAACTACACGCATGCTTGTCTAGGTCACTCGACTGCATGTATGGATGTGTGTGAGCAGAGAGTGGACACGACGTCAACGTCAACGTCAACGTCAGTGCCATACATTACTTTCCCACTCACACTTACACAAGATCGGGAACAGTTGCCTTGTGGGCGCAGGCGAAATGAGCGAGTGCAAAAGAGCGAAAATCCGTTTGTCTGGCAACTTATCTGTTTATGCTAGTGTGCGTGAGCGGGAGTGCGAGTGCGAGTGCCAGTGTTTTGTATGCGCATTTGCCGCTCTGCCGCTCTCGCTGCTCTTTCGTTCCGCTACTCTCGCTCTTTAGTTTTTATGGTCACTTGACTGCAGTTGCCTGTAATCAAATACACTTAATAGTCTCCCACACAGTCTTCAGTTTGTTTTGCATGCTTTGTTACTCTTTCTCTGTCTCTGCTTCTTTCTTTTATTTAATGAAATATCCAGAGCGTCATGCGAATTTCAGTTGTTGCTGTTTGTTTCATTGGAATCTTCTTACCGAGCATTTTTTCTCATTTTATGCGCGCTCAACAAGCTGCAAAACACACACAAAAGCGCCAACAAAATACAAAATAAAAGAAAAAAAAAAAACTAAAAATTATTTTTATTTTGGACTTTGACACAGTCATACGATGATTTTGTTACCCCATTTGAGTAAATGAGAAATGTGTGTGCGTCCGAGGGAGAGCGTGAGATAAAGGAGATATAGAGACAATAACAGAAGAATTATTGCTCTCTCTCTCTCTCTCGCTCACACGCTCAATCGGCAAGTATGTATTTTGATCATAGGTCAGTCGAAAATAACGCCATGCGCTCTTATAATTTGCAATGCAACTACTTATGCATGCATATGCATGCATGTACCTATGTATATGTGTGTGTGTGTGTGTGTGTTTGTTTGTTTGTTTGTTTGTGTATACA